CAATGGTGGGTTACAATCAGCAACTGTGTCAGCTGCTATAGAGAGAGCTGAGGCTGGGTACTCTGTAAAGGGCAGAGGTCATGTGGGCCCACTCCACAGGCTGGGCTGGCTTCAGGGAGCTTTTCATTCACATAGAAGGCAAAGAGGGAGCCAGCATGTCACATGGGAAACAGGAGCAAGGAGAGAGAGGACATGCCAAGCTCTTTTAAACAACAGCTCTGACACAAACTTACTGAGAGCTAGAAACTGCTCATGACCACAAGGGCAGCGACACCCCCCCAACCCCACCTCCAACACAGGGCATTGAATTTCAACATGAGGTCTGGAGGGTCAAATCTCCAAACTGTATCAAGAGTCATCCTTTAAAACTCCTCATTCAGGAAGAAGTAGGTCATAGTCCTTGCTACATAAAAACAGAACAAGAGACTTTCTAGAGATATAATTTGAGGATGATTAAACTAGATTATTAAACATCGCCCCTGTGCAACGTGAAGGTTGTCAAATAAAAGCAGGAGACCAAGTGTGTCTCCACCTATGGGGCAGAACAAGGCCCAATGGGCTGGGAGAGGTGGGTTCAGGGGCAACGCAGCTGCTGGGCCTTGAGCCAGCTGAGTGTAGGAAGTGGCCCCTCGTCAGCACAGGTGTGCCCTGAGTGAGGGTTTGTGGAAGGCTGGGTCTGAGCGTGGAAGCCCCTTTCCCTCTACCCTATGTGTTTCCAATGCTGTTACCTTCATGCCAAGTAGCATTGACCTGAGAACTGTTACCTCCCTTCTATTTGTGTGAGAAGCAACATCTTTAAAGCACTGAAATAAAAAACAAAACATAAAAACCTGTCATGCTAAATTGTAAGCCTATCAAAATTTTTCAAAAACGAAGATTAAATACAGTTTTTTCCAACATCAAACCTGTACCACCACAGAACCACACAGAGGAACAAAGGGCACTGAAGTTGGTCACGACACGGGTTGATATAGAAGACAATTTTCTCATTATGTAAATATATTTTTAAAATAGAAGACAGCTGATTTTCAAGCAATTAATAATGGCAATGTACTATGGGTTTAAGTAAAGCGTGTGCAGTACGAGTGCTCCATATAGATGTCCATGCAGCTTTCTCTGTATCCCATACTGGACAGGTGCATGGTGGCACATCCACATGGCAGAATGGCACTCAGCAATGGGAGGGGATGAACACACTGGATCAAAGGGACAGAGAGAGGGAAAAGTCTCATTTCACAAAAGATGTGCAAGACCCCTGTGTTGTGTGGGGGAATTTTTCCATATAAAATTCTGAGAAAATGCAAATGAATCTAGTGCCAGATATCAGACCAGTGATTGCTGGTGATGAAGAGAGGCCCAGTGGGGGGGCACACTGCCCAGGGGGACTCAGGACATGCTGATTACCTGAGTGTACGGCTTCATAGCTGTACACGCATGTGAAATCTATCAAATCCTATACCTTAAACACATGAAGTTCATGGCATAAAAATTATATCTGTTAAAAATATAGCTCTGAAAAAAAATTAAATGGCAGGCAGCAGATCCTTCTCTGTCATTACAGGTCCCCAGTGGAAATGACAAATACTCATCTGCTGCATGCAACCATCATCACAGAAAATGCTTTCCTGTGGATTTTAAGTAGTTTTATCCTATTGAAGATCATCTGAGATTGGTTTCATTTAACAAAGTGAAGCAGACTGTGGGTGACTGTCATGGTGAATAACACCTGGCACGGCAGTGAGGAGGCTGATGGAGAGGACCAGAGACACTGTGGGGCATCAGGAAGGACCAACTTGACAGTGTCAAGAGGGGCTTTCAGGGTGGTGATTAGGCCTCAAGGGTGGACTAAACTCTCCTCAGAGGCAAAGGGCCAGCTCCTGCCCCATTTGGCCCTCTGCTTTTGGACACATGAGGACACGGCATTTCCCCCCTCTGGAGCACAGAGTGACAGGTGCCCTTGGAAGTGGAGCACGGCCTCACCAGGTTTGGAGTGCAGCACCTTGGCCTAGGACCTCAGCTTCCTGAGCCCTTCCTCCCCCTACTCTGGGGAAGTAGCAGGCGAGGGCTCTGTCATCTCTGGTCTGGGAAGTAGCAGGTGAGGGCTGTCATAGCAGCAGCAACTCAGACACCGCCCCTCCTGACAGGGCTGTCCCCCACAGAGACAAAGCCCTGAGCACATGCGGGGTGAACACAGGTACCAGGGCAGTTTCTGCTCTGCCAGCCTCTGACTCGTGCCACCAGAACAAGCCAATGGCTGCCCCTTCCTAAGAGTCCAGACCCCCTCTGTGTGCACAGGACACTGGGGCATGGAAGGTCACTCTGGCAGTGGCAGAACACAACCCCATGGCTCCAGGCCGGGCCCCAGCCCCTGGCTGGATGTGGCACCATGGCTAGGCGACTGCCCCTTCTCTGCTGCTGGAGTCTTAAATAAAGTGGTTATGGGGATCTCAGGCACCACTGGGGGATGGGCTGGTTCATCAGGGATGTGGGAAGGTGCAGAACTGGAATCACTGACCTGGCACTGATTTGGCCAGGAGCTGACATGAGTATTCAAAGTCAAGAATTGCAGCTTGGTGCCTGTGGCTCAAGTGGCTAAGGCGCCAGCCACATACACCTAAGGTGGCGGGTTCGAATCCCCAGCCCGGGCCCGCCAAACAATGATGGCTGCAACCAAACAATGGCCAGGCGTTGTGGCAGGCGCCTGTAGTCCCAGCTACTTGGGAGGCTGAGGCAGGAGACTCGCTTGAGCCCAGGAGTTGGAGGTTGCTGTGAGCAGTGAAGCCATGGCATTCTACCTAGGGTGACAGGTTGGGGCTCTTTCTCAAAAAAAAAAAAAAAAAAAAATACAAAGTCAAGAATTGCCACTGATGGCAGACCGCTGTCCCTGATGTGGACCCTGAGTCTCGGACACGTGGTCTTCCCTGCAGCCACTTGACCTGCCCTGAGCCTCTCCTGCTGGCTGGGCTCTGGGTGCTGCTGTATATCCCCAGAGTTGGCTCTAGGTGTGGCCGCAGGGCTGATGCCTGGCCAAACCACCCTGCCCAATACCCAGATCTGGTGTCCCTACTCCACATGCTCAGCCTCAGGGTGTGAGGGTAGACAGGTCTGTGTCCAGCTCTCAGACTGGGCCTTCGAATGGCCTGGACACCACTTTCTCACCCACACCAGTTCCTGAGCAAGTTCTGTCAGTTTTTCCTTCCAGATGCCCCTAGAACTCAACAGCCCCCTACTTGACCTGCTCCCCAGCCACTCCTGCCTGAGTCTGACCCCACCACCTGGTCCTTAGCATCTGGTGAGACCAGTGGCCACCATGCTGTCACTGCAGACCTGAGTTCTCCCTCACCCATAGCCCCTACCAGTCCTTCCTCAGTGGAAGGCAGGGCTCTTTCCCCTCACGTGCTCCACTTCCAGGGCACCTGTTGTTTGGACTAGGCACCTGTGCCTTCTGCCTCCTGGCCCTGTGTTCATGTCCCATGAAGTGAACTGTGCTATGCACTGACAGTGTGTAGCTCTGGGTCTCCAGGTGGCTGCATCAGGGCCCTCTAGGTAGATAGGAAGGGGTCCCACAGTTTGGACACCGTGCCTGGGACAGGCCATCCTGGGCCAGACTCAGGCTCCTGGGATGGCTGACTCCTCAGAGGCAACTCCAGAAGGAGGATCAGTGCAGTTGTCCCAGGGTTTGGGTCCTTGCGCACTACCCAGGCCCCTCCCTGCCCTGAGGGTCTCACAAACCCAAAGTTCCATGTGGGAAGATAGTACCCTGAGCCCACAGAGCTGGGGCAGCTGCCCCTTGGGTCCCACATGCCCAGCAATGCACAGGAGGTGCAGGTGCCTTCTGCATCTCACCCTTTCCTGAGGGCTGGTCCTCTGTCATCAATCACCTGAAGGGGAGGACCTGCTTTGGTGGGCGTAAGTTGTAGCCAGGGCTTCTGCCTGGAGCAGGGTACCATGGAGGCAGGCACAGGGGACGAGACCTACTTGTCACAAGGGGGCCAAATGGACAATCCCCTCAGCAGATGGGTGTGGACACTCTAGCAGCCAGGCCACGGTGCCCACGTAGCAGCAGAAGAGGCAAGTTCCACAAATCAGGGACTGGTACTTTGGTACCTAGGCAAGAAGTGTTTTCATCTTTGTCATTTTAAGTAGTTTTGCCAAAGTAAAAATAAAAAAAGCTTATGTAAGTTGGGAAAAGTAGGAATAGAATCTAGATTCATATGTCTAAGAACCCAAGCTCCCATGAACGGGAGGTAGGCCACAGCAAATGGTCTCCTGGTGGGCATGGGCCCACAGGGTTCTGAGTGCATTGGATAGGGGTCAGAGATGAGAGCCAGAGCCAGTGGGGGCCACGATGTTTATTGATCTCCGAGGGGCAAAGGGAGGTGCCCAGGCCCATGGCGCCTCCCAGCAGGTGATGACTCCGACAAGCCAGGGCCAGTGCCCTCCGACGCCCCCCTTCCATGCTGCCCTTGGTGTGCAGGACAGGCACCCTGATTCCAGCACAAGATCTAGGGTGGAAATGTGAGCCCAGATGCCACAGGCTCTGGGTGTGAATTGAGTCAGCAGACAGGCCAAGTGAGAGGAGGGTTTCAAGGCAGCTGGGCCTCTATGGCTGGGAGGGTGCACTGTGTGGGGTGTGCTGTCGGGGACGCCAAATCAACCCTAAAACAGACAGGTGCATGACACTAAGTAATGATACAGCTAACACATCACAGATGGGAACACCTGAGCGTGTAAGATGATGAACATGGCATGCCAGTGGTGAGGGGCTGAGCATGGGCCAGTATTTAAAGAGGAGCGTCGGACAGAGCCTGGGCGCGTGGAGACAGGCTGTTTTGCTGTGTGTGTATATCTACGGCACATATCCTTTCTGTTAAGAAAGAAAAACCTCTCTATTTATATCTGCAAGGAAGGGTAGGTGGTCTGTACAGAGTGTGAGCCGGGGCTGCAGGCTCGCGTGGGTGGTGATGTGGCTGTCACAGAGCAGAGGAGGGTAGACAGGATTAGAGCGCACCCATCCCGGTGACCTCAGACGTCAGCCTGGAACAGAAAAGGCACAGAGAGGAGATGGTGACAATGACCTTGTAAGCAGATCAGAAGTGAGACGGGGGCTCTGTGGCATCCTCACGACCTTGGTCGACCCATTCTCACTGCATGAATCATCCCAGGTCTCTCTCTAGTAGCCATGAGCTGAGTAGGACCTGTGCCCAAGGCACCCAGCAATCCCACCACCATGTTAGCTCTGTGAGCCAGCCCTGCATGGGGGTGTTGGAGCCCCCATGAGCCCCTGGGTCTGCCTGCGGGCCATCTGAGCCCCACCCCCTTATCTGAGAAAGGGCTTTGGTGGTCACAGGAATACGCTTGACATAGGTGAGAGCCCCTGACCCCAGTACAGTTCCTGTGGGCTGTTAGGATGCTGCAGGGTAGACGTGAAACAGGCCCTGCCTCCAGACTTTCCCTAGGCTGGCTCCTAGGCTGGCCTTACAGGCAGGGTGGTCACAGGTGTGGAGTGAGGGCCAGATTGGCTTTGGATCCTGTTAGGTGGGTAGCAGCGGAATCTTTATCTTCTCCATACAACCTCTCACCCAGTTTGACTGACTGTGGGAGGCTGCAGAGGGTTCCAGGACAGGGACAGGGGCAGTGCCCATGCAGAAGCTCCACCAGCCTCCTCCCACAAGCCAGCTTGGAGCTCTAATGGGAGGACAGCCTCAGGAAGTGTGGCCGTGAGCTGGTGGTGCCAGGTGCCGTGTCATGGTCTGTGTGGCAGTGTGGGCCAGTCACCTTGCCAGACATTCCCATTTGCCCAAATGACAAAAGGAAGGGAGGGGCCTGCAGACTTCTCCCCTGCCCCGTCCCTACACTGTTCTATGAGGATGAAGAACAAGGCCAAGCAGGCAAACACCAGAGCACCAGTCCTTCTAGACAGCTCTGAGCACAAATCCTCCTTCCACAATGTCCTGGGCCACATAGGCCACCTGCCTTCTGAGAATGCTCTGACTTCCTGCTCTTCACTGGAGATGAAGGGTAAGGGTAACAGGGTGGTGTGTCTATGTGGAGACTGTCCCTGATATCCTGTCAGGAGGGACAGGGGACCAGAGTGCAGCCCTGTTCCACCCCTTCAACTCCCTCAGTCCAGATGTGGTAGCAGCTGGTGAGTGGCTGTTGGCAGCTGACCTGGCGTTGATGAGATACTGGGCAAGGCTTATGTTGGCTGGGGTCCCTGTGATGGTGATCTGACGCTCCGATGACCCCTCGGTGGCATTGGCAATTTTGATCTGTGCTCCAGACATCTGTCGAATTTCATTGATTTTGGTCCCTTGGCGTCCAATTATGCAGCCTATTAGCTAAAAAAAGAGAAAAGAGTGGAGGGCATTTCTTAGAGAAGAGCCCAAGACAGCCCCAGGCAGAGGTGATCCCTTGCCTGGGAGGAGGGTTCCGCTGCTGCTCTTCAAGCTGGCCCAACCTCAGAAATGCTCAGGGAGCCAGAGGCTAGATGACAAAGCCACTTGTGCATGAGTCTCCTGAGTGGCTACGGACAGATGTGGGGCTCTGCCTGAAAAGTGACCCTACAGGAGCAGCCTAAAGCACTCATGACCACCAGACAGTTCTACGGGTGGGTCAGAATGCTAGCAGAGGGCCTCATGGTGCTCTCCTCTGGGACTCCTGCCTCACTGTCCATGCTCCACAGTCAGGACAGGTGATGTCCCTCCACCCCAACTCTGTGCTTCTGGCTTCCATGAAGGGAAGAGGCAGGGCTTGGTTTTCCTGCCCGTCATGTTGTAGAGGCAGAGCAGTGAAGGTTCCTGAAGTCCACAGCTCTAGGGCAGAAGAGGCCCCTGGACATTTGACTTGGTAGAAAGGCAGCCATCTTCACAACCCATACAAGGACTCTTCCTGCTGCCCCGGCAACTGCCCACACATGGCCCATGCCCTCCCTGGTCTCTCAGCTTAGGGCAGTCCAAGGATACAGAGTCTCCCCTCCCCACCAGACCCATTGTTAAGCGGAGCTCGTAAGGCCACATCCTCAGGTGTGCTAGATACAGGAACCCAGACAAACCTGTGACATGCAACCAACTTTAGGTCTGTTGGAGACAACTCAGGGACACTCCCAAGCCTCCAAAGGGGCCAGGGCCCATGAAGCTGGTACCAAGGCTGGGTCCACCCCAGAGTGCTCCTGGCCACCCTGTTCTTCAAGGTTTGACCCTGAATGGGGCACAGCCTTCACAGCAACACAGGTTCCCAACTCTCAACTGACTTCTGCGGAAACACTGAAGTCCCTGTTGGCCCCTTTCTTATTTAGCGTCTTAGAGACGTAAAATCATGTGCCATTTATGAGCATTAAACCCACTTAAATGGGAAAGGAGAGAGGAAAGAGATGACATGGTGGGGCTGGGGTGGTTGAGGGCATCACCAAGCAGGGCCCACTGCCTGAGAGGCAGAGCTGACTACTACCTGAGCCAGGCAGTTCTGTGCACAGACAGGAGGGTGCAGGGTATACTCACATCATTGGGAATGGTGAGCTCATGAGTGCTGGCCGGGGGGCTGGCATCCAGACCTGGGCACACCAAGGGGACATGATTAGGCTGGCAGGAAGGCTGCTCACAGTCATACCCCAGCACTTGGCTGACACTCCACTGGGCTGGGTGAGGCAGGGTTGGAGGGCTGGCCTGAGGTCAAGGGTCAGCACAGCCCTCAATCCTATGACTTTTCAGGTCAAATTGCAACCTAGCCTCCTGTGTCCCAGCATCTCTCAAGAGAAGAAAAAGGAAACCCAAGCAGAATGACATTCCATTTTCTTGTCTGAACACATCATGGGCTCGCTTCTGCTGTGATTGTGTGATCTCTCATAATACTCAGCTCAGATACTTCAGCCAACCTGGGCTGAGGGACAGGCTTCCACAGGGTGCTGGAGGCACAGGTACCTGGTCACACTGACCCTGAATGCCCATCACCCTGGGTTCTCAGAGCCCAGATTAGAGCATGGAGACCTCACAGCTTCACCAGAGTCAAAACTGAACTGCTAGACAGAAGCCTGACACCACCTCCCACGCGGCTCGCTCTTGTGCTGAGCAGCAACGACGAGCCCAGCTCAGGTAGCGGAGTCTCCTCAGAGCTGGGCTATAAGGTCTGCTCTTGCTGCAGGAAGAGTGACTGTGAAGCCCACCTCAGCCTCTGCTCTCCTGTTGCCCCCTCCTGCTCTGACTCAGACTTCTATTTCCTCAGCATGAGGCTATAGCTCCGGCCCTGCTTGCCTCTCGGGCCCCTCACAGGGGGGCCTCACAGGATCCCCTCACAGGATCTGAAGCTTAGCCCAGATCCTGGAGCCCAAGCCTTATCATGTGGCCCAGGCCCCCAAACGTGCCACAGATGCTCCCATGCCCCAGGGAGCTGCCATGCCCATGTCCAGCAGCCCTGGCCCTGGCTGGCGCCCTGCACCTCTGCACCCACCCTGGCTCTCCCCAGGTCTGGCCTCTTCCTCCTTGACCTTGTCACCCCACACCAGATGCTTCTGGGGAGGGGCCCTGGGGGGGCATGAGCCTGAGGGCTTTCAGCACAGTGGGTGCAGCTGGCATGTGCCAAATGAACCAATCACCTTATACGGTCTGTTGTTTTCCTTTTGCATATTGCAGCCTAGAGTTTCTGTTCTTCATCTTCATCTAGTCAGGATGTTTTCAATACAAGTTATTTGGTGATTCAACTACCCATACATAACCCGTAAGTGGTAACAATTAAAATATCATTTAAGAGATTTCCTTGGTGCTACCTAATTGTGGACAGGGATTCCTCAGCAACGTGGAGCTTGGGATGAACAGAGGAGTGAGCCACCAGGATGGACCTGGGATTCTCTGACTGAGGAGGGGAGAGTGTTAGAATTCTATAAAGAGGATGCTAAAATCAAATGAATGACTAGAAGATGTGTATTTAAAGCGTGTGTGTGTCAGGACAACAGGCTGCATGGAGAGCATTTTCTTGTGACTGTGATGATGTTCCAGGCTCTGGGAGACAGACAGTGCTGCCCTGACCTGAACCATGTATGCCGTGGGGAGTCTTGCAGCCACCAGCCTTAGGACTGCCATAATTGAACACTTCTCACCATGCACTCCCTAGTTTTGCCCTCCCCAGTTTCACCCTCCTGTGGCCAGCCTGTATGCACAGTAGGTTCCCAGGCCTTGGAGAGGGCAGGATAGTCACAGAGCAAAGCTCTGGCAACCAGGAGGCCCAGGGGGTGCAGAGTGTGCACGGTGTCTTAAGGGACCCAGGGACCCACCAGGCCCCAGTTTCTCCATCTCAATGCCTGTTCCTAGACAGATGACCACATCTGTTTCACACTCTCAGAAACTCTATAGGCCGATAGGTCACCCTGCGCCACCCAAGAACAAAGATTTTAGTGGAAATCAGGAGGGGTGCAGACAGCACAATGCCCACCAGCCTCTCTCCTTATGGGTTTGCTTGTGTTTCCTATGAAATGTGTTTTTAAAATGCACAGGCCATGGTGAATTCTCTACCACAAGTTCCTAGAGGCTCCAGGCACAGCCTGACTGGGCCCTGACATGTCTCTCACATCTCCCAATCCCAATCAACAAAGCAGCCTCAGTGTCCCTCAGCCAAGGCTGGCCCCAGGCCCTAGCCATGGGAAGCTGCTGACCGCACGCAGATATCGGGCAGGACTGCAGAGTGGGCAGTGCCTGCGTCCCCCCTCAGTATGGCTCAGTTTACCTGATGACTGGCCCATCAGATTTTGAGCTTCTTCGGAGGAGTGTAAAGGCAGCTTTTCTCCTGGAGAGCAAAGAAGAGACAGGTTTAATGTTTTGCCCTCAAGGAGATAAGCATGGTCCCTTCAACTAGGGAAGCTCAAAATATGACTGGCGCAGGCCCCACTAGTGCTCATCCGGTGGGCCCTCTCAGCCACGGCCATAGGCGCAGCTCTGCCTCTGCCTCTCTGGGAAGGGACACCAGCTGCCCTGCACTGCGGGCTCAGCCATGCTTGGCAACTCTGCCTGCCCCACCGCAGCACCCAGGCTGGTGGGGGTCCTGGTGGGTGCCCCCATGCCGTGCAGGTCTGCTCATCTGCATACATCCTCCTGGAAGGAGGATACTCCAGGGCTGGGCAGAGGGGTGCGGCCAGCAGGAAGGCCTCCAGGATGGCCTGTAGGCAGTGCAGGGCACTGCCTGGCCAGCAGACCCTCCAAGGGGGCAGATGTCTTTTCAGAAGTAAGGACACAGCAGGGCCAGCTGTAAGGTTTGCCAGCCGACAGTGGGAGACAGCTGACTTCCCGCCCGGCCCCGGGCCTGTGCAACCCGCTACAGATGGTCTCTGCCCCAGCGGCATGGTGGCTTCAGCTGGACCTGCTCTACACTGAGGTAACTGTTCAGAGAAAGCCCCCAGGTGAGAAGAGGTCAGAAAAGGGCTGGGTACGTACCGGGGAAAGCGGGGTTGGCCTGTCCGAGGGGAGGAAAGGGGGTTTGCTGCATGGCCAGCTGGTGGAGCTTGGTCAACTGCTGGGGTAGGAGGGACACGAGAGCTAAGAAGGTTATTGTCATCGAGTACAAGTCACACCAAATCAAACGGCAGTAACAAGACTTTGCACAGAAAGAGGCCATGCGGACACATGGCAGACGCGGCAGACGCAAGGACTTGGCCTGGGAGAAGCCAATGGGGCCCAGCGTGTCGGCCGCAGGCAGTGTGCGGGCAGCACTGGAGCCACCGTGCTCCCTCCCTGGCTCCCTGGCAGCCTTGCCTAGACCAGCCAGGCCTCCCTCAGTAGGCCAGTGTATGGACAGATGCTGGCCAAGGCCAGAGGCTCTGAGGCCTCTGAGCCACACAGCAAGGCGACTGGGTTTCCAAAAGACTTAAAGTCCACTGGCTACTCATGAACCATGTGATGCAACTGTGGAGTCCACAGTGGATCCACAGTGCCGTGAAGCCTGGTCTACTCCAGCCCTGCGCTAGGCACACCCTACCCTCTACTAAGGGCTGGGGTTTACCTGGGGGACCTGGGACACCTGGGACCCACACATCTGCCCTGCAGCCACCTTCTGGGAGCAGCCTGTCTCCCCCAGGAACATAGACCATTAGTTCCAGGAGGCCACAGGGCACCGAGGGGTGTGCTCCATTCCATCTCCCCACCCATAGCCACATGCTTTCCCAGGGAGGATTTGAAGTAGTTTCTTTACTTATTTTTTCTTAGCCCCATTTCCTAAGTACAAAACTAAAAACAGCAAAAGATAAAGGTAAATGTGGTGAGACAAGGCCATGTTTGGGGAGTAAATGAGACTGAGTGGAACCTTTCATATCCTAGGGAGTCTGAGGTTGCGTCCCTGAAGGCATCGTGGGCCTGGTGCCAAGTTTCAGGTTGGAGACGGTGTTATGGAGCTTGGGATGCCCCAGGCCAAGAGGCCACACGTGTGGGGAGACGCATCTCTGTGTAATGGCTTACACCACTGTGCTGGTCCTGGACTGGCAGCTCTCCAAGACAGGCGGGTGACAGGATGGGTCACTGGGAAGCTGCCTCTCTAGTAAAGGGCCAGCTGCTAAGCGTCTGACCAGACACCACTACGCTGGTCCCTGTGGCTGTGCCATGGCAGTGCCTCAGGGGTCTGCGTGTGGCCTTCCAGGAGCAGAGCATCCTCCCCTGAGTTTAGCCCAAAGCTGAGACAAGCCCTCCCCTGACACCCTGAAGTTCTCACAGCTGGGGGTGGGGGCAGCCTGGTCTCATCTAGCTTCCCCAGGTGGATCATGGCACGAGGGCACTGTGAACCCATGGCAAGCCTGTGGCTCCAGTCAGGCCTAGGAGATAGAACCTTTGGCAGGTGAGCTGATGATATCTTGGGGTTTGTTTTGCAGTCTAAGCTGAAAAACAAGGCCTGACTGGCCTGGCTCCCGGACCACCTGCCCTCCAGGGCATCTGCTGCACACTGACACTGGGACCCGGCCCAACAGCAGGACAAGTGGAGGGCAGAAGCAAAGAGAGCAGCTGCCACTGCCAGCTTATAGGTAGCCACCCTGTCCCACCCTCTCTCACCTTTTTGGCTGTCCTCTGACCTGAGGCTCTTTGGCTGGGCCTGCTTGGGGAGTACTTGGCTGCAGCTGTCCTAGCCAGGAGGCACAGGAGCTCCAGTCAGGGGACACGGTGATGTGGGGTCAGATTCTGCTCTGTGAGTGCCTTGAGAGGTGGCAACAGTCAAGGCTGCAGCAGGGCCAGGGGCCTATGACCCTATGGCCCTTGCCTCACAAAGTGCCAGCTGCCACCCCAAGTAGACAACACCAGCTCCTGAATGGGTAGCACCTGTCAGACTGAATCCTCATGTGGTCATGGGTGTGTCTGAGTGGACAGCACTGAAGCCCCAACAAAGGTGTCAGATGTGCCCACCCAGAAGCATCCCCAGGATTACCAGATGTAGCCACAGGGCCAGCTATGGTCTCTGAGGGAGATCCAGGACCCTGAGGAGGAGCAGGCAGAAGAGACACACTCAGGAGCCTGGGAAGGCTCCTGCCGCCCTCAGGGGATCCCCACAACTGCCTGGGAGCTACCCCTTGACAGTGCTGTCTGTGAGGGAGATGGGCATATGGCACAAATCACCCCAAGTTGCCTGAGGGGTGTCTCATGGGGTGGGTGCCAAACTCGCCCCCCTAGGGAAGCATCTATAGGAAAGCTGGCTACAAACTCCCAGGATGGAGTAAGGGCCCTCAACGGAGGACCCTGTGAGGCCCGGCTGAAGTGGAGGGTCTCAGCCGGGGGGCGGGGGGCAGCAGGAGGGGGAGCCTGGCAGGGAGCCTGGGGAGGTCTGTGTGGCCCGTGAGTCCTAATGACTGCTTCCTTTGCTTGTGCCCGCTACTTGTCCTGCTGTTGGGCCGGGTGCCAGGCAGGTGCTCACAGGTCCACTGCCTAGGCTGGCCGTGTGGCCCATGAGGACAGAGGACAGGGCCCTGCCTGGTCTGTCCCTGCAGTCCCCCTGAGCTTTGCTCTGGTCAGGACTGGGGATAGGACTGGGTCCTGTCCAGGTCTCAGAGGCTGGGACCTGGCTGGAGTCAGCTCTGAGCATGACCCTTGTGTCGAGACAGGAGGATCTGGTCTCTCTAGGCCTTGGTCCCTCAATCTATATCCACATGACTGAGAGGCACATTATGACATGGCTGGTTGAACTTTGTACGCTCAAGGGTGGTTGTGTCCAGCTCCCACGTGCTCTAAGAGCCAGACTTGGGCCCCTCTCCCACTCCCAGTGGCGGCGGTGCAGGTGAAACCCTGACTGGTGAGGCTGGCACCACACACAGAACTCATGGTCAGAAGATCAGAGATTTTGTGACTCTAACCCTCCTACCTCAGCATAGTCCCTGCTCCTCACCAAGGAGGGGCCACATCATCAAATAAATCCCTCCTCTCCCTACCACCAAGCTGGTGACAGCAGGAAGGCTGCACCAGCCAGCAGGGCCTACCAGCGGGTGGGTGAGCAAGGGTCCCATGTCATCTCCATCTGGGTTCCACCTGTATTTGGTCAGGCCACTGTGCTCTTAGGGATAAATGTTAAGGGGCCCTCTACTTTCTGATATTTAAAGAAATTAGACTTTTGGTTCTCAAGGGTGTCTCCAAATCACTGAGGGGAGATGGAGGAGGGAGGCATCACATCATAGATCTTTCTCTGTGATTTGTCTTTTTTACTTAACATTGTGTCTGAATACAGGACAAACACTAATACTGTAAGTGCTGATGAGTCCACCCTTCACTGAATTAGGACAGGGTGAGTGCTGTGCAGCCACCACTCTGCTCAATGAATAAGCTGCCAGGTGGTATCAAGCATATTCATATTTCCTCTCTCAGAAAAATGCATTTCTGTCTTTTGCCCATTTTTCTCCATGGGGTGATTTTTACTGATTTCACAAATCCTGGAGCATCTCAGAATTAATCTGTCTCAGTTATGCATGCTATACACATCTATTCCCCACTCCCCTTAAGGTTTTTGTAGAGAAATAGAATGCCAAATTTTAATGTAATCAAATTCATCAATATTTTCCTTTATGGCCTGTGCTTATGGTTTTGTTTTTTGCAGTTTTTGGCTGGGGCTGGGTTTGAACCCATCACCTCCAGTATATGGGGGCTGGTGCCCTACTCCTTTGAGCCACAGGTGCTGCCCTTGTGCTTATGTTTTAATAACTTTCTTTGAGCTGAGGACAAAAGGACATCCTCCTATATTTTCTTCTAAAAGTGTAAACTTTTTCTCTCTCGTGTTGAAGTTCTTGATATATAAGAAATGTTTATTGTTTATGACTTTCAGGAATGATCCATTTCCCTGTATGTGTGACTGTACCTGTTCTCTCCTGGGACCCCATGAGGCTGTCCAGGCTGGGTCTCCTCGTGTGGGTTGATCCCAGTGTCTTGCCTCTCCTCAGAGCTCTAACTAGAGCTATGTCTTTTTATCTACTAGGACAGACTACCCTATCGCATCTTCTCTTCATGAATGTCTTAACTCTTGGCTTATGCTCTTCCATTAAAATGTAAAATAGCATTTTAAGATCCTCAAAAAATCTGCTGGAATATTGACTAGAATTGTAATATATTTGTATATCAATTTGGAAAGGACTGACATCTTTAGGAAGCCTAGTGTTTTTATCCATGAATATGATATCTCTTCATTTATTTTGGTCTTTTGGTCTTCCTTACCTTTCAATAAAGGAAACTTTTTCAAAAAGTCATCTTTTCACTATTAATTTTTCATTATAGTTGATCATACAGGGATATATTCTGAGATGTCACCATTAGGCTATTTTGCTGTTGTGCAAACATCATGGGCATGTACTCTGCACCCAGGGTGGACAGTACCCTGTTGCCCTGCTGTGCTGAACACTGTAGGTTGCTGTAAAACAGTGGCGAATGTCTGTGTATCTAAATACATCTGAACAGAAAAGCACAGCACAAATGCGAATGAAAGATAGGACCCGGTGTACCTGTACAGGGCACTTACCACATGAACGGGGCTTGCAGGGCTGGAAGGGTGAGGGGTGAGTGTATGTGAGGGCCTGGACATCCCTGAGCATGGTTGCAGACTCTATAAACACTGTGCTGTTAGGCTATGCTAAGTTTATTTAAAAATATTTTTACTTCCTCAATAATAAATTAACCATAGCTTATAAATTTACTTATAAAGTTTTAAACTATTTCTTAAACTTTTTTACTCTTTTGTAATAGAACTTAGCTTAAATAACACAAATACATGGTACATCTGTACAAATAAATTTTCTTTATATCCTTATTCTATAGGTTTTTTCTATTTTAAACATTATTTTATAACTTTTTGTTAAAACTAAGACACAAACACATGGCAGACTAGGCCTACAAAGGGTCAGGATTATCAATATCTCTGTGTTCACCTCCATATCCCTTCCCCCTGGAAGGTCTCCAGGGCAGTAACAGACATGGGGCTGTCACCTCCTATGAAGGATCTACCTAAGGCTGCTTTACAGTTAACTTTTTTTTTCCAAGTAGAAGTACACTCTAAAATAATGA